CTGTAAAGTGAATTGACTGTATATTTGTGGGCGAACGCGGCAGCCAATTGCACACAGCAATGTCCCACAAACAGTCGTAGATTGAAAATGACCAATTTTTATTATTGTGTTTGGTTTTGGAGGGATTACTATTAGGCGTGTGGAGTAAGGAAACTTGCCCAAGGTTTCACCCTGCCTGGAATTGAACTCACTGGATGTCTCAAAGTGCTTCACAGGATTTACTGTAATGTGTAGTCATTTGTGTATTTTGAATGTGAATACTGCAGCCAATCTGCACTGTCCCATGAACAGTCATGAAGCGAATTTTATCTGGAGGTTGTTGGCCAGGACATGGGGAAAAACAACAACAATTTGTATTTATTTAGCTCCCTCCATGCTGGACGGTGTCCCGGAACGTTTAACAATGGCGGAGCTTGATGCCGAGTCATGGGGAGGGGAAAGGTGAACAAAGGTACGGTTGAAATGGAAGGTCTTCAGGCGCAACCTGAAAATGAGAAAAGAGTGGAAAAGGTGAAGGGTTTGAGGGAGGGAGTTCCATCGCTTCAGTGCATAGTGGCTGAAGACACGGCTGTCGATGGTGGAGCAGAGGATTTGAGGGACAAGGAGGAGGCCAGAGCCAGTAGAGTGGAGGCAGCGGGTAAGACAGGATCTTGAAGTTGATTCAGTCTGCTACAGGCAACCATTGGAGTTTGGCAAGGACTGGAGTAATTGGGATGCAGAGCTTAGTGGGGGTGAGAATGCGGGCAGCGGAGTTTTGGATGAGTTGAATTTTGTCAAAAGTGGAGGAAGGGAGACCGGTGAGGAGGGGAAACTCCCATTTCTTTTCAAATAATACCATGGGATATTTAGGGTTCAGGCAGACTGAACCTTGGTATTAATACATCGTCTGAAGGACTGCACCTTTAACAGTGCAGTACATCCCCAAACACTACATCGGAATTGCTGCCCAGACCATATGAGTTCAAAGTCCTAGTGTCGGGCTTAAACCCACAACCTTCTGACTAAAAGGTACAAGAGACCCTCGGCTTTTATTGTACTCCCAAGCATTTCAGATGTCTATTTGCATCTCAGTTTTGTGACTTTTTTTAGTGAATAAATGAATGTTTGCAATGGTATGTTTTTTTTAACATTTAGCTCTGTAGCTGCACCTTTCAGCCTCTTTTCTCACTCTCTCTGTCTTGTAATGTAAAATGAGCTCTGTCCAAAATCGTTTTAAAAGTATCCAGCCTTCATTTGAAGATTTAGTTTCTTTGAACCAGAACTGTAGATAAAAGAGAGTGTAGCATATGGCAGTATATAAAAGATCACTGACACATTGTTTGCAGCATACTGCTTGTTAAAAAACACCAGATATGCTGGAAAAGTTCTGCTGTTTTAACTTAGATGCTGTCTTGCTGGGTTTATTTGTGGATTGCAAAGAACTCCAAGGGGTGCCTTGTGCTGAACGTATAGTTTGATAAAGATCTCAAAAGGTTAGTCTGTTTGCAACAAATAGAGAAATATAAATTAGACAAGGCTCACAATAACATGAAAATAAACCACGTGCTTTATATCAGCCCGTGTCATTTCCGTTTGGATGCTTGGGATAGTGTTAAATCCCTTCTGATCTGTGTTACTCTTGTCTACACTATCAGCTGTTCCTTCCACTCATTTTGTAATTTATGAGAGATACTGACAGACATGTATATCTAAATATTAAAACAAATATTGAACATAAGTAGAACGGGCAAAGGATTAACTGACTAACTTAACACAAGCAGATTTCTGTGATTTTTTTTAACTGGGTTCATTGCCCTCCCCTCCCCCTTTCATTAAGCAGCTCATGCTTCAGACTGTCATAACCTCAGCTGTCTGCAAGTTCTCTGTACTCAAACAAACACTTCAATCAGTAAATATTCAGGTAGCGATATACTAAGAGATACAATATTCCCATAATATAATATGCAAAGTGACAAATTGTCTCACAGGAATTGAGATCAAGGCTGATACCTAATCTCAATACTCACATCATACAGATAAGACACGATATTTAAAGGCTTGATTGTATCTCAATATTACAACTCATGCTTAAGGTATCTATTATTGTGGATAAGCAGTGAAATGCAAATTAAGTGATACACTAGGTTAATAAACGGTTATAACCAGTGAATTAACTGATAGACCAGCAGCAACTGAATCACTGCAGACTAAGGGACGAGATTTGAAGGTGGGCAAGGAACAATCTCTATCCACTGAGAGGTTCAAATGAGCAACTCTGTTTAGAACGTAAGAAAACATGTCATGAGAAAAGAGCATTCAGCCCTTCAACCCCCTCACTTCATAGAGTACACAAAAAACTATTGGATCATTGACTTCACCCCAGGGGTAAAGCTCTGACAGATACTTCTTCAGCTCCAAAGGCAAACACGCAAACAGTCCAGAATAAATTTCCAACCTCGCATTTCTAGAACTGAACTGCAGTCTGGCCAAAACTTTGAACTGTTCATCCCTAATACAAGTATTTCCATATTTGCTGCATTAATAATGGTCCACTTGTCATTCATCTCCAAAATGTAAAATTTCCCCCCTCCAACTACAGAAATTGCAACATAAAATAATCAAAGCCTTTGCATTTGATATAACACAAATTACATTAACATTTCTCAAAGAGCTTTTGTAAGTAATTATTGTCAAATGTAGTTACTGTTTTTTGCAGGTAAATGTGACAGCCAGTTTCCACACAAGGTCCCAGTGATAACATGAGGTGATTGATCTGTCTTTTTTGTTTCTTTACACCCTCTGTCTGTGGCCTAAAATATGGCTTTCAGATATGAACCATTAGATCATACCTCACCTGATCCCATACAGTGTATTCATTCTCACTGTGCATTTCGTATTCATGAGACCAAATCGAGATTTGATGCTTTGTCAAACAGCTCCATTCTGTCCTTAAACACAATCGTGCCATAGCCAGGAAGTATCACAACAACTCACTTTGCCACTCTGGCCTTTTCTATCATTGGTCTTATACACTGCTCAAGTCAGGCAAAATGTCATTAAAAATAATAATAATATTCCTTATATTTGGTATAATGCCTTTAACATCAGGAGGACACCTCAAAATGCTTCACAGGATCCATTGTAAAATGGTATGATGTGTGTTTTTCTAAATGAATATCATAGTCCATTTTGTGCACAGCAATGTTTCACTAACAGCCATAAAGTGAACAAACAATTTTATCTGGTGGCTTGTTAAAGAAAATGCCTTTCTCTTTTTGAGTAATGCCATAGGATATTTAACATCAACTTGAACAGTCAGACTCATCTCATCTCAATTGAAGGATGGCATCTCTCACCTTGCAATGCACCCCCATTACTGCATTGCAGTGTCAGCCTAGACTATGCGACTTCAAAGATGGAAAGTGGAGCTTTAACCCACAACTTTCTGACTTAAAGGTGAGATTGCTGCCAACTGAGCCAGGGTGACACAGATATATTTTTCTTAGGCATTCTTAATCCTGCTGTCTTTGTAGATCTTTAGTGCTTCTCGAATTACCCAGAAGTTTCCCGCCTCCCAAATGCAATATGTGGGGTTGTTATGTTGTGGAATTCATTATCCCATATGCTTACTGAGAATAAAGGGATAGAATCATTCAAAGGAGAACTGGATGAGCAATTTAACAGTAAAAGCATTGAGGGACATGGCAAAAGAGCTGGAAGGTGGAATTAATAGTAAAAGGAGATTTAGAATTGAATAGGTAGGACAGACACAATGAGATGAATCTGCTGGAAATGTATATAATTCTGTGTACATTCACATGATTGCAAGACAGACTTGAATGAAGAAGTATTTTGGCTGAATACGTAACTTAACACAACTTAGTGTTGTCTGAAATTTTAATCACTTTGCACCGAATTGGTAAATCCAGATCATTAATGTATGGAAGGAAAGGAGTGGATCCCAGAGCAGGCACCTCACTCAGTACATTTGTTGAGATGGATATCAAAATGAAATGATGGTATCATGTATATAATTTACTACAGGATTGGAAGAGGAGGCTCTATCCTTCCAGGGAGACAGTGAACATTCAATTCCAGACAAACAGAGATTTCATGCCCTCGTGGTACAGGCTTGCTTAGTTAAATGCAGCATTCATACAACCAGGTTACTCTCTGTACAGATTCTTGCCAGTTGGTATTCGAAATGGCAAGCTGTTCAGTTTTAGGTAGTTAAAATGCAGCAGTGTCCCAACGACAACAATAAATTGCATTTATATAGCGCCTTTCATGTCAGGAGGACGTCTTAAAGCGCTGGACAGTTAAGGGTTTGCACCCGAGCTGGAATCAAAAGAGGTGGAGGGCAAGAGATTTGAGGGAATGACCAAAGGCACAGTCAAAAAGGAAGGTCATGAGACAGGCAGACCCACTGTACCCTCTGGGATCTCTAAACCTCAGCTCTCACCAAACTATTACCTCCAGGGTCCGTCCCTCTGGGGAGAGAGTGTGCATTCCATTCCAGATAAATGGAAATTTCCATCAATTTGTGGAAATCTCAGTTTAGTTTAGAAACTCTTAAGTAGCTTGGGAGAGGAATATCTGTGTGCTTGGGTCAGACAGCTGGCTGACCAAAAAAAATCAACTGCCCCTGTTTAGTCTTAACAAGTAGCTTTTCTAGACCAATAGTTCCATTTATAATAATGATAATGATCCTTGTATTTGATATAGCACCTCATTATGTTGTCAATATCCCTCAAAGTGCTTCGTGAGATTTATTGTAAACTACAGTGATTTTGTATTTGTAGGCAAACGGGGCAGCCAATTTGCACATCAATTCCTGGTGTCCTCGCCAACTATCCCCCAGTTCAAATTGCTCACCAGTGAATGAGCAAGACTTTGAGCTCAAAGTTGAACCAAACTTGAACCCACTTGGGCAGGGGTACTACCAAGTGAGCCAGGCTGACACCTAAAAAGAAATGAAAGTGAATGTTGTATTAGTAAACACAAAGCCAATTTGTGCCAACAACATTCCAATTTTTATTTGGTCAGTCAAGTATCTGACACACGCAGATCCCTTCAAGCAAGCAACAACATTCCTTAAATAGTGGGATCAGAAGAGAAATCAATTACATGTGGGGGTAAATTCACTTCTGATAAAGGGTCATACATGAAACATTGAACAAACTTTAATAGCAAATACATGGTCCTGTGATGTAGTTCTGGCAGATTCTGTTTTTATTTCATTCCTCAATGAGCTGTTGCTTTCTGATGTCACTCATCAATCAGTTTTGCTTCTTGCTGTGCCTAAAGCAAGAGACAGAATGTTTTTAAGCACACACATACACTGTCCCTGTATGAAAGAGAAACCTATTAGAAGCTCACAAAAGAATACAACTTACACGTATGTAGTTCCCTCCACACAGGGTAGCATCTCAGAGTGCTTAACAGTGGTGAAGCCTGACTCTGAGCCGGGGGAGAGCTGACCGTAAGCACGGTCGAAGCGGAAGGCTTTCAGGTGGGACTTGAAAAAGGGGAGAGAGGCGACAAGGAGGAAGGATTGAGAGAAGTGTTCCAGAGCTTCGGGACGCAGTGGCTGAAAGCACGATCTCCAATGGTAAAACAGAGGGTGCGAGAGACGAGCATGAGTCTGGTGCCAGGAGGTGCCGGGTAGTGGATTGGGGAGTGAGTAGGTCCGAGAGATAGGGAAGTGCCATGGAGTGAAAGGATTTGAGTATGAGTGTGAGGATCTTGAAGTCGATACATTAAGTTGTGGAGTCCTGTAGCTCAGTGGTTAGAGCACTCGCTTTGCAAGTGAGAGACCTGAGTTCAATTCCAGGCAGGGCGAAACCTTGGGCAAGTTTCCTTACTCCACACGCCTAATAATAATCCCTCCAAAAAACCAAAAACAATAATTAAATTGGTCATTTTCAATCTACGACTGTTTGTGGGACATTGCTGTGCGCAATTGGCTGCCGCGTTCGCCCACAAATATACAGTTAATTCACTTTACAGCGTGTTCTGTGAAGCGCTTTGGGACGTCCTCCCGACATGAAAAGCGCTATATCAAATGCAAGGATTATTATTATTATTATTATTATTAAGAATGGATTCAAAAGTTGTTCACACCTCTGCCCCATTTTAAGACTGAATGGTCTTACAGGTGAAATTTCAGGTCTCTGGGTAAAGATGTTTGGACCAACCTATTACCCTATTTTTATGGAAACTTTTGACTCCTTTGGACTAAATTTACTTCTGATGCACCTTGAGACAATTTAGCTCCTAAATTTCTTGTAGTCTTAGTCTGTTAGCCCATTTTGTCCCAATATTTTATTTATTGGGAAACAATTCTTCAATCCACTGTTAATTTGAAGCTGCTCTTTAAAAAAGCTTCCAAATTAGAACTAAAGTTAAGTATTCTCCACAATTCTGTGATCTTATATTTTACGACAAAATGGTCTCACAGGCTAAGATTAGATGAAATTTTGCCATTATTAAGTGCCATGAAAATGATAGTTCTTGCTCTCTTTAGCTAAAAACAATTAACGTGGAAATAACTTTTTTTTGGTCAGCCAGGTGTCTTGACACATGTGGAAACCCATCACTTTGCTTAAGAGTATCCAACTTAATCTGAGAGTTCCATGCATCCCACCTACACATGGAAATTCCTGTGTCTAGAATGGAATGCACGGGCTCTCTCTGGAGGAATGCATCCTGTTTATGAAATTCCAGAGAATAAAAGGAGAAGCTTGGCAAGAACCAAGACTTGGGAACCTCAGAGTGTGCGTTGAGGTACTGCTAAAATGTAATCAGGTAAAACCATGTAGCTTGCCATTTTCTGCTGGCAAGTTAGGACCACCCAACTGTTAAGACTTTGGCTTGCAGAGTTGTTGAGAGCCAAGTGGGAAAGAATTCCTGTTCCCCCCCCATAAACTGGTCTGCTTCTCCAAGTCCTACGTGTGAGCCAAGTTGGCTGGTCTGTCATTAGCAGTGCCCTGGAATACTGCGTACCTGCTTGGCTCAGAAACTGGACTTACAAGACCGCCACAGAGGGTTGACTTGATCTTGACATTCCATTCCAAGCATGTCATCTGAGAACTGGTTCAACTCCAAGGAGCCCTTGCTTAAATGTGTTAATTCTTACACAGAATAGGAAATATTTGGGTGTATTTTTCTGGTTCATGAATGGTCTTTTGTGGTTGAGATTAAGAAAACACAGGAGTCTAACATGGTTTAAATCTAGAAATTCCTAAATTATTAAGTAGTTTTGTTTTTGGGCAGCCGGGTGTCTGACACATACGGAAATCCATCACCTTAAGGAAGAGTCTGCAAACCAAACTACTTAGAGTTCCATACATATGTATGGTTCCTCTTTGTCTGGAATGGAGTATGCCTTGGGACCACCTCCTGAAGTGAAAGCGATATACAAATGTAAGTTGTTGTTGTTGTTATCTCTCCATAGAAGGACAAGTCCCTGCTTATAATTCTGCAGAATTCAGGCGTAGGTTAGGCAAGAACCAAAGCATGGGAATCTCAGAGTATGCATTGAAGTTTAACTAGTTAAAACCATACAACTTGCCATTGCGTATGCTTGCAAGCTACCCCCTGTTTGTCTAGCTAGCGCCATCCTGCCCATTAGAGCTTTGGTTTGTAAGGTTAAAAGGACCTGAGCAGGGAGAACCCCTGCCTCCAAATCTTATGGACGTATCCCATTATCAACAATGCCTGAGAGAACTGCAAACTTGTCAGAGTTAGGAGCTAGACAAGTGAGAGCTCCGAAGAGGATCGACTGGATTCTGATATTCCATTGCTATGCATGTGAGCTTAGAGTCAACTCAACCCCAAAGAGTCCACTTAATTGCCAGACTGCACTGGCTGCCTGTCCCAGAGAGGATTGCTTCAAGATCCTCACCCTTGTCTTCAAATCCCTCCACTCCTCTGCACCCCCCTATCTCTCTGACCTCCTCTCTCCTCACAACAGTGCCTGTTGCCTTCGTTCCACCAGGTCTGGCCTCCTCCTTGTCCCCCGAGTCCTCCGCTCCACCCTCGGCGGCCGTGCCTTCAGCCATTATGCCCCGAGGCTCTGGAACTCCCTTCCTCACTCCCTTTGCCTCGCCCCCTCTCTTCCTATTTTCAGGTCTCGCCTGAAGACCTTTCTTTCCGACCGCGCCTTTGGTCACCTTCCTCCCCATTCCCCTGGCTCGGCCCTGGGATCCTGTACTGTGAAGCGCTCTGAGACACTGTCCGGCTATATGAATCCAGGTTGTTGTTGTTGTTGTTGTTAATTCCCCTCTCTCCATCCACCCCTCCTTCCCCCACGCCATGATGGTAGGCATTAGTCAGTCATCAGTCACAAGAGTAGATCGAACCCTCAAGGAACTTTTTGCAGATGACATGGTAAGCAGCATATTTGAGTGTAAGGTGCATGCAAGCATAAATGATTGTTTATCAAAGTGACAAGCTGAGGAGGCCAAAATCCTGGCTCCCTTCAGCCACAAAATTAACCTGCAGCTAGGCTGCTGGGTTGGGTCTGAGAACATTGCTAAAAGTTTATTTGTTCATTGAGGAGAGAATGGATTATAGCCCCTTTTGGCAGATCAATGATAGAAAGGACTATTAAACAAAAAAATTCCCTTGCGGCTCAATGTATGAGCTAAAATTTACAAGTTTTATAAAAACCTCTTCTCAGGTTCAAAAAAAATGGTGGCACTAGAATCAGAAGAGGAACAAACCAGTAGTTGTCAAACGTTCCTTAAGTAAGAAAAGGAATGCTCTAAAACAATTACAAATGTTATTCCAGTATTTCTATTTTTTTAGCCTCCCCTGGGTTCAGGCCTGGCCCCAAAACACTACTAAATTAGGACCTCCATGCTGTTTCATTAAATGCAAGAATTTAATTTTTTTTTCCATTTTGAAATATTTTTATTTTTTCACTTGTTTTTGAACAAATACTGCTAACATTTTGCCCATGGAGCTTGAGACCATGTATAAACAGCTTAGCAATAAATATATTTTGAAAGANTTTTTTTTATTCGAACAAATACTGCCAACATTTTGCACATGGTGCTTAGAACTGTGTAAAAGATCTTAGCAATAAATATATTTAATCACCTGTTTAAAACATATTCATTAAGTGTTTTTGGCTGTGAGTCTCACAATCGAAGTGAATTGAGTAAGTGTGTGGGTTCTGGTTGCTGTTAGAGATCCCTTTTACAGAAGAATCTACATCTTGGCTTGTTTTCAGTCAAACACTTTGCAATATTTGTTTCTCAGATCAGTGCTTCTGGTCACCAATCTTTAATGACTTTTTTTTTCCTTCTTGGCACTTGCATTTTGCTAACCCATGGCTGCTGCATATCCCCCAACACTTCCATGCTAGCGTCGATGGCCAGGCCTTCAGCCACTATGCCCCTAATCTCTGGAACTCCCTGCTTCAATCATTTTTCCCCATTCTTAATCTACCGTTAAATCCCACAAGAAAACCTATTTCTTCGACTGCGCCTATTGACACCTCCCCCTCCTCCATTGCTTGGTGGCCAACCCCACCACTATGCAGCAATCCAAGAAGAGCTCTATATGAACGCAAGTTGTTGTTTTGTAAGTGTGGTTGTTTCCAAAACGAGACTTCATTTCACCACATTCTTGCTGAAAAATCTGCAGATCCACAGTCCTGCTGGGAGGAATTATTTTAAGATATTAACATATTTTAAAAGTATGTTTTACGCAATGCAAATAACGGGCCAGGTTTTTATTTAACTGATAGGCTTGCGGAGCCTATCAATTAAATAAAAACAATTATAATTTTAAAAATGAAAACATGCATTTGATATAACACCTTATTCTGTTGTCAAGATATCACAATGTGCTTTGACTATCCATGAGGGAGAAAGGAATAGAGGGATATGGGAGAGAGGATTAGGAGGGATGGAGTAAAAACTCCAGCATAGATTAGTTGGGCTGAATGACCCATTTCTTTGCTGTAACAACTTAATTCTATGTATGAAAGTCAGAGAGGTGCAGGATTTGTTTTGTTGTTTCTTTGTGACAGGCCAGATCAATTGCAATGCTCATCCTACCCTCTACAATCCTTAAGATCCTATATAACACAAACACTGCTGTTAAAACTGTACATCAGTATTTCTCAATGTGAGCACACAGAACTATAAAGCCTATTGAACAGAGGTTTTATTTTCCTTTCATTTCAAACAGCACAGGAAGCACTTAATTTACTGTCTTAAACCACATGGAGGAGGAAAACATAATTTGTGGTGAGCCTGAGATATGGGTTTCAAGCTTATAACATGTTCAGCCAAAAATGGTTTTAAAATGATTGTACCATGATTCTGTTCATGTGGTCAGCGATGATATTAAAGTCAGCCTCTAAAAAAAAGGCTAATGAAATAAAGATAAGATTCATATGTTGGCAGATAAGAGTTAAGGTAATAATACACCATGTAAAATATCCTGCAAAGTTTGTGCTTTCATTGATATTGAAAAGCTAGAAGTTTTCGGGAAGCAAAAATGTAACCTGAAATGCAAAATGAATCAGGGCTGTGGTTATGTACATGCTTGGGCTTGGATGATGCTTGCAGTGTTTTCAACTGAAAGGTTAGGGGCCCAATGTTCTCCTGAACATAATGACAGTAAAAAAAATCCTTGCATTTGATAAACTGTCTTATCATGTTGTCAAAATATCTTAAAAGGCTTTACAGGATATACCAACACCCTTCCCCCACTCGGGTCCTAATCCCTGACTGTCCAGCAGCTTGGGACATCCTCCCGACATGAAAGGCGCTTTACAAATATAATTTTGAATTGCATTTGTATTGTAGGTTCATGTAAGCAAAAGCTGCAGCCAATTTGTGCACAGCAATGTCCCACAATCAACCATGAAATGAATAACTAATTTATCTGGAGGTTTGTTTGCCAGGATACCAGGAAATCTTCCTTCTCTTTTCCAATAGTACGATAGGATCTTTAATATCCACCTGAACGGACAGATGGAAGCTTGGTTTAACATCTCATCCCAAGGACAGCAATTTAATAATGCAGGATTCCCCAAGCACTTATTGAGGTGTCAGCCTAGACCATGGGAGCAAAGTTCCAATATAACAACAACTTGCATTTATATTCGCACGGGTTAGCGAAGCGCTTCCCAATGTGGGGCTTGAACTCACAACTTTCTGTTCCTAGAAGTAAAAGTGCTACTTACTAAGACAGGCTGAGATGCAGAAATAATAATATAATAGTAATACTCTTTGCATTTGATATAGTGCCTTATCACATTTTCAAGAGATCTCAAAGCACTTCACAGGATATACTGTAAAGTGAATTGAATATAAACAACCGCACAAAAAATGGCTGGTCCTAGAGTGAAAGTAAATAATAGTCCAATAATTAAAACCGTATCATCTTCAACAATAAGTGTAAATACATTTAACAGTTTGAATTATAGGAATGAAATTTGTACCATTTCAAAGTGGCTCAATGTGATAATTATCAAACGATTGTAAAGCAACATTATCATTTGATGTGCTGTATAAAACATTTTGCTCTCCCCCCCACCCCACCCTTGACATACTTATATAATTACTTACTTTTAGAACCTCGGTCCTTGTTCCATTTCTAGATTATCACTGCACCATCTTGGGATCTTTAACATCCGTCTGAACAGGCAGGCAGGACCTCAGTTTAACGTCCCATCTAAAGGAAGTGAGTTCAAAGCCCCAGCAAGGTGAGAGTGCTACCAATTGACCCAGGCTGTCACTTGATTATGGCACAGAATTAAGCAATGAAGATCATACCATAAAACCATTTCCTGCATTATTTTTGCGTTTTAAAAATGGTCTTCATGAAACGGTCAAATTGCGATTCTTTTAAAGAATGTGTGTAGATGGATATTACAAAAAAAACATGAAAGGAGAAATGGAGGCTACACCATGTGCAAATGTTTGACATGTAACATATTGTAGTATTTCAGTCTGAAGTTTGGTTCAGTTGATGTAAAGGATACACAGATTTGGCATCTGTAGGAATAACCTGGGTCGATAGCAAATCGAGCTCATGTGGTCAAAACTATTGCCGAGTACTTTTAATGTGGTGCCACCTAGCAATTGAGGGGCCATGAAAGGAGAAATCTTTGACTATTCAAATTAAAAGGTCAGAGTCAATTTGTGAGATGTTCTTTGGGGTTTCAATTTGTTCTGACTTGCTGTGCATCTGAATTGCTGCAGTGGGAATAGTCAGTTTGCTCAAAACTGAAGGCTGTCGGCTGAAAATTGTGGAAGAACTGGAATTACATACATTCCGAAGATCTTTTGCCAAATGTAAGAGTGTGCATGTTGTGATGTTTGAAACTTCCCTTCACAAGTCGTTAGAAACCCCGAAATAAAACTGGAGCATTTCATTACTGAGAAGTGCTGAGTGGTAAGACGCGTTCTGTGGGAGTTTTCTTGGTGTATCAGCAAGGCTGCCTGTCCCCTGACGCTCTGTTATTCCCTCGTCATCGATTAGTATTACATGACAGTGTTTGCTTAAGACACAGTAAACAGTGGAGCAATCTCTGTGATGAAGTGTTGACATTTAAACCCTCTCCAACCTGCATCGTGGGACTTGCTTTTCAATGCTTTAAAGGTTAACTATTTCTGCAGTCAGGAAGAAAACCATCCATTTCAAAATGATAGTGCAAAACGAATGAACAAATGATTCTGAGCTGAATTATATTCATTAGTCTTTGTTATTACTTTTGTCCCACTTAGTTCTGTGCAGCTGGAATTGTTGTGTTTCACAAAGTAATATTGTTCACTTCGTATCGACGATTGAAAATTCCAAATTTCAGGAATATTGAATACCGGAGGTGCTGATCTTCAGGTGAGACGTAAATCTGACTGTTCAGGTGGATGTTAAAGATCCCGTAGTAAAACAAGAAGGAAGTTTTTCCTGATATCTTGGCCAACAATCTCTTAGATAAAATTGATCATTCATGTCATGTCTGGTTGAGGGACATTGCTGTGCGTAAATTGGCGGCTGAGTTCACTAATATAAATACAATCACTGTACGTACCAGTAAATCTTGCAAAGTGCTTTGAGATGCTCTCTTGATATGAAATATGCTTTATCAAATGCAAGGATTATTATTAATAAGATGTTGTGCCAGTTTTCCAGACTCTGACACTGGCTGGTGGGTGGAGCAGTGGTGTGATGGGTGAGCGCAGGGGCAGCCGTGTTCCTGTTGCATTCTCTCTAATATAGGATTCATGAGGCCTTTGGTTTGTTCAGATCAAGCAGGCCAAATTTTAGAATCATAGACTTATAGAATCGTAGAAATGTATATCACCGAAAGAGATCATTCAATCCCATTGCCCCACCTTATTCCCAAACTGCTTTAAACCTTTTTCTTCCGTGTACCAGCAACTTCCTTCTTCACTCGCAAACTCCCTGCTGGTCAGCCTCCCCAACTCCTCCCTCCACAGGCTGCAGATCATCCAGAACTCTCCCCCACCAGGCTCCTGTGTCCTGTCACTCACAGGCTCCGCGACCCTTTCTCCCCCATCCTCGCCTGGCTCAACTGGATCCCCATCTTCAGAGGATACAGTTCAAGATCCTGGGTCCTCACCTTCAAAGGCCTTCATGACTTTGCTCCTCCCTACCTCTATGACCTCCTAACCTCCTACAACTTGTCCACTCCCTCCGCTCATCGGGCTCTGGCCTGCTTCACGTCCCCTGTCTTGCACGCCCCACCAATGGCAGGTGGGCTTTCAGCCTCTCTACCCCCACCCTCTGGAACTCCTTCCCACAGTCCCTCTGCCTCTCCCCCTCCCTTGCCTCCTTCAAAACCCATCTCAAGACCATACTCTTCAACCGTGCCTTTGGTCACCCTCCTACCCCTCCCCTCCCCACCCTTCAACCCTCCACCAGCTTGGGTGCGGTACCCTGATGCGCCTTGGGATATCACCCTGATGTGAATGGCGCTATACAAATGTAATTTGTTGTTGTTCAAACCAAAATTTGTCCCTCCCCTGGTATCTAGGTCCCTAATCCCCCAAAAAACACATACAACAAAATATATGATATACTTACCAAAGCAAATGCCCATCTGTTGATCTGCTCAATTAAGCAATATAACCTGTCTGTCTTAGAATTAGCTACTCACTCTTAGGAATCAGCTACTCACTCTGCAGTCAGCAGTTGATCTAACACATCTAACTCCATGCAGTTCTGGAGCCTTGATTTGTACATCTTTTATGATATTAATTGTCTCTGGAGAAAGGCAGGACACAGGAGCCAAATATAAAAATCAGTAATAGCAGTAAAAGTGTTATTAGCTTCACAAAAGACTTGTGGGGGTAGGGGGAAGGAAGATACTGTAAAACACTACAATTTTGAATGGGCTTCTTAATAAGGACTCTTGAATCACAAATGGGTATTCACTGAGCCATGGGAAGTTTGCTTCGTAGGTTGATTGATTGGAAAAGAGTACCCATGGGTCTGCACAAGGTTCTTGCAGTTACCAGATGGAATCCGCATTTGCGACTTGGTGTCTTGTTAAGAAATGGCATTTAAAATTGCCATGTTTTAGATCTCAATGCAATGCACCTTTTTCAGTAGACTCCCCAGGCTGAAAAAAAGTTGTGTTTACACTGCTTGGAGAGTGGCTGCATTACTTTGAATTAAGATCCTATATGAAAGGCACTATATATGTGCAAGTTGGTGAGTGACATGCAACTGGGAAGCAGGATTGTATAACTCTTCTCTTCAAATAAGGGCTGTGAATAAAACGCCCAATTTTGACATTCTGCGTGAGCTAAATTTAGCACATCAGCAAAACTGGATGTTTGTATTTTAACCTTAGCAAAATGCCGGTTGAGCAACAAATTCTTAACATGCAAAAAGCAGTCAGTTGAAGGTTTCTTTTAGCAGTTCCATGAGAGCTTTACCTGAGAACTTTCAATGGACTACTGGGAAGTGGGCCCCGTGTAATTATACCCATGTGGTTATACAGCAGCAGGTGAGAATAGCATCACTTCTGGAGCCATCATATCTATGGACTGTCAGGAGTGTGGCCTAATTGCACTTAGCTGAATCCTATTTTTTACAGACCTGTTCGGAGGAAACATTATTGCCAAAATCTAGCTGACTGACCTCTGCATGCCCAGCATAAACTTGGCATAAGGCTGGGTAAAAATCAATACACTGTTGTATTTCAGCCATGCATTTTCTGTTTACAAATCCGCGAATACATTCGATGGACCGTGCAGAAAAATTGCTATTAAAAGCCAGTTTGTGGATGTCGGCACAAATTTTCAAATATTTGCATGGAAATACCACACACCTCACCTGCAAATCACTGCTTTCTCTTTTTCTTGATCTGAATGGCCCTCCATGCGAACGGGGTCACAAGTTCACAGGCAGGGAGACACACAGGCAGGCAGCTCCTTGCAGCAGCTTTGGCTGGTTAAACTGCACCCTCTCAAAGCTCTAATGAGTGCAGAATCTCCCGCACACAGCATCAATCCTTGACAGACTGTTCTCTTTATTTCCGGCTCCAACCACCATTTGGCGTACGTTTGACCAACATGTGCTGGAAACCTGCTCCACAAAGGCTTTGAGCGAGTCGCTCTAAAATGATCGTCTCTAAATAGACAAACCGGAGACTTATGCCAAAGGCAATTCTTAAAGAATCAACTCGGTCAGACACATTAAAAGCAATCCCAAGCCAGTCATATTCGCATATTAGTCTGTAAGAAAATAGATGATGTCACCGCCTACAGTTTGGGCATCTGAAGGGAAATAAATGATCTCACTCGGTGTGTTAAAGTCCTCTGTAATAAATGAGCTTGTCATACCACCGTGCTCGGCAATAAATGATCTCACCAGACGTGCTGCTGCAATAAACTGAGCCAATAAGAATGTGAAGCAGCAAAATAATGCTTGCAGTGAACACATCTACCCAGGAGTCCTGAAGGCCGATAACATAAATTTAGCCTGATAAATCTCTCCGGATGCAACGGTCATGCCACACACCCTTCGTGATGAGAATCTGTGGTAATGAGACCCATGCAACCAGATCAAGCCCTATGCCGTAGAAGTATCTATCTTTCTGCTGTTAAGCAAAGGCTTCCATATGTACTTGTGCTTTCCGTGGCCCCTGAAGGCTGACAGCAGATGTCCACCATAAATTCTGTTGACCCGTGGAGACACTTCCAGCATTTTTCAAGACCATTTTCTGCTAGCAGGCTGACCCGTTCCATACTGAGCTCTACTGGTCAACACCTGACAAAACTCTGAGGGCAGTAATGTTGCAATTTAATGGGTCTTTTGTAAGCCTTCCAGCCTAAACCAGAAGGAGACGAAGATGAATTAAAATCTAATTGGTGAAGGTAACAGCTTCAATAGTCCCTTCACAACTTGTTCTAGTGCTCTCAGGAGAATACTACTAAATCAGTTACAATCCAACTCCTGTTACATGTTCTGGGTACTAAACGTTGACCTATCATCATAAAATAATGTTCAGAAACACAAGGGAAGACTTAAACATGTTCCAGCAGTTCAGATAATTCTGACTCACTGGCTAAAGCCTCTTCTATTTTAACAACAATCTTGTGGAAGAATGGTAAACTTTCTCAAGATCATTAAAGTTATGTTGTATTCAGTCGTAGGGCATCTGAATAAAATTAAGAGTGCTATTTTTGTGCATGATGCTTCCTCACCTTTTTCAAAAGTTTAATTTTAATGGTGTATTGTGCAATGCTTGTGTAAAATACAAGTTAGCAGCAACTCAAAGGAAGTACTATATTACAATGCAATGTAGGTAATATACCTGAGGCACAAATTCTGCCTAGTCTTAGCCTGCATGATTTTTATCTTAAAATTTAAGCTTGTGAAGAATTGTGGAAATTTCTTAAACTTGGTCTTAATTTACAATTGATCTATATAAGAGTTGTAGAAATTAAGGCTTTGAAATTAAGAATGAATTGAAGAATTTCCCACAATTGTATGCAACTTTAAATTTTAAGGCAAAATAGTCTCACAATCTGAGAGTAGGTGACATTCCAGGCCTTTAGTGTGAAGACAACATTTCTAATGTTGTTGTCTGGAGAGAAGTGGAAAGCCAGAAATACTTAAAGGATTTATTTACAGGGGGAAGCGATAACTTCACCATCAAAGTTGTAAGTGTAACATTTCTCAGTAGCATTCCTGCCTTTGAGTCAGAGGATTGTGGGTTCAAACCCCATGTTGGGAGTTTGAACTGATATTCTCAGCTGACCCTCCAATGCAGCACTGCAGGAGCACTGCATTGTAGGATGTGCTATCCTTTGGAAGAGATGTTGAACAGAGATCCCACCTGCCTGTTCAGGTGAAAATTTAAAAGTTACAGAAGTGTGTTTCCCCTGGTGTCCTGGCCAACAATCTCCCAGATAAAGCTGGTCATTCAATTCACGGCTGTTTGTGTGATATTGCTGTGTGCAAAATGGCTGCGGTGTACTTCCTAGAAAATACTTTACAGTAAATCCTGTGAAGCAATTCAAGACATCCTCCTGACGTGAAAGGTGCTGTATCAAATGTAAGGATTGTTATTAATATTTTGATTTAAAAAAAACATAATGAATGAATAGAAGAGATCAAGGGCTCAAAATTGCCCCTGGATTTAGATTCAGACTTCTGTTAAATTTCAGGACCAGATTCCTTCTGAACGAGAGCTAAAATATTACAGAAATGTTATTTAAAAACTACAAAAGTTTTAAGAGGCAGATGTTTCAGTGCAATTACTTTGCGGACTGAATTTGTGTAGAATCATTAATTCTATGCAATAAAAGTTGCTTTGGTGCCCCTGCGCTGACGTTGGTTTGGTTGCAAAGCACTAATGAATTGTGCATGTTTTGCAAAATATTGCCATCAAGACATTCACAGAGATATTTTCCTACCCTGTAACAAAACAGATGACAAACAGCGTACCTTATTAGCGCAGGAGTTTATTGTCAAATCCATTTTCCTGTCAGTACATAGATCAGGTGATATCCTGACCCGAACCAGATGGGTTCTTTATTTTCTAATATTCCTTGTTCCTTTATTTAGTTAAGCAGATGTATTGATGTTTGTTGCCAGTTACTTTTCCCGTCTCAGGACATAAGAGGGAGCTGGGATGAAAGGAGTTTGGGAATTTTTCCCTAGGGGAAAAATTCAGTTTGTGTGATATTGCTGTGTGCAAAATTCCCTAGGGGAAAAATAACCAAGGAAAGTAATATTTAAGGAGGTCAAAAAAAGGGAAAATGAAACATCTTTGGAGTCAAGACCATACCTCAAAAATGTTTTGATTGTACAGTCTCACTAGCATCTCACAATAACAAGAAAAAAATAAATGATGAACACAAGTTCTGCTTTGAATGGTCAAGGGCTCTGGGACGCTACTCTGCATGAGGAGTGCGATCTAAATGCAAGTTGTTGTTGTTGCTTTCTTGTGGAGCAATTGAGATTATTTTCTTGTTTTCAGCATACAGTTAAATATTGATGTCTAATTTGCAATACCTATTGGAAAGCAGTGGTTGAACGTGGGTACTGTACACCAGGGCTTCTGGCAGTGCCAACAACAATTTTCATTTATATTCATGCTGGGAGACAACTCGGAGTGCTAAGTAGCTGACTTCCCATGCTAAACAATTATTGACTTCCGGTTTGCCGATTGCCACTTATTGTCATGTCTTGAATGCTGCACATCTGTTGTATGTGCAGGAATGTACAGGAACAGGTTATATAATGACCTCACTTCAAGAAGGAGACACGTCAGCAGCGCTTCAGTGCATAGTGCAGGATGTGCATTCATGCAATGTGCAGGAAGTGACATCGTTGGAACATTCTGCGCACAGTTCAAAGAGTAGGAAGTGACATACAGATGATCTGTAAGGCGGCCATTTCTTTGGGTTTCATACAGCCTCTGATATATTGGACTGAAATGACCATGTTATTATGGGGTTGTCCTGTACCTGCAAATTAGTCTCATTAATTGCTATTTCTAGTTTGCAAGATTACCAATCTTGAATCTCAGCAAAGTCCAAAAGCCTTTTCAAGCATATAATTTGCTTCTCAACTTTCTTCGGCATTGCCAGCTTGAGATTCATAATTTGTTGGCGATAAATTTTGCTAAGCAGTTGTTGTAAACTGCAAGTTGCATTGAATGCAACAAAATCTGGTTTGTTAATACACTATCACACATTATTTCGAAATATAAAGCTATTCCATTGTAAAACAATGCAAGTTTATGTGTTGTCATCCTGCCTCAGTTGGTAACACTCTCACTGCTGAGTCAGAAGGTTGTGGGCTCAAGCCTCATGCATGAATGGGACTTGAGCTCAGAGTCTAGAGGATAATCCTGTAAAGTGGTAGGGGAGAATTACAAATAATAATAATCGTAGCATTTGATATTGCTTTACAGAATTAAAAAAAATGTAAGTTCTTTCTTTTAAGGTCTGAACATGGAGTTGATAATATGGCAAATTAAGCCTTTCAGTTTGGTTTATTAACTGCTTTCAACAAACTTAGTGCCCAAGTGCAACTATGTGGCGTCCTGTAGCTCAGTGGTTAGAGCACTCGCCTCACAAGTGAGAGGACCTGGGTTTGAATATTAGGCAAGTTTCCTTACTCCATACGCCTCTGGTTACCTAGCAGTAAGTAGGAACCCGGTAGTTAGTCAATTGGTAGATCACTTTTCCAGGGGTAATAATCACTTCAAAAAAAAATAACAATAATAATTTGGTTACTCAATCCACGACTGTTTGTGGGGCACTCTGTGCAGAATTGGCTGCCGTGTTTCGCCCGCAAAATATACGGTCAATTCACTTTACAGTATATTCTGTGAGGTGCTTTGAGACATCTTGAATATGTGATAAGGCACTATATCAAATGCAAGGATTATTATTATTAATTTGCCCTGAACCATGCCTTCATATATTTCCCACATCCACCTTTTTAATTTACTACATCTTTTCTCTACTACGCTGTAGACTTAGATCATAATAAACAATGTTCCAGACCATGTTCAACCTACAACTACATTTATTCGCCACCCTTCTTTAATAGGGCTTTATTGGGTCTAACAAGGTCAAGTTCAAATTTGTCCATTTCACAGTTAAACATGACCATAAAGAATGACTGGAGTTAAACGAAACTCTGCATTTTCCTTTCCCCTTTCATTAAATATCACTAGTTCCCATTTTATAGCACTGCAATACATGCAGTTTCTTGGAAATGTAACCAATACTATTTACGAGGTTTACTGCTTGCGACTAGTATTTGGATTAAAGAAAGTGCATGAAGCCCATGAAACTTCTATTGTGAGTTTTCAAATGTTAATCCATCTATTTGTAAACCAGTTTAAAAATGTGGTTTGTTCGCTGCCTATTCAGAGAAATATTTGCTGAATTGTGCAGCAATGTCTTATAATAACATTGCAGCTTATTATAAGAAACTGTATTCACTGTAAGACGTTCATACAGTCTGAGCACTGTACTAATAATAGTTCCAGTGCTTTAAGCCAAAGAGACAGGCTTTGAATGCCAAAAGCCAAGTCCCTGTGGTGAAACAGGACCCCTTCCCTTTCCCAAGCTCAAAGGCAACAATTTACAACATATACAACTTCAAAAAAGTGCCTTATCTCTACAGGCATCACACATGAATCATTCCACAAGAAATGACACTTAAATGTTCAGTGTAATTAG